AGTTTGGATATTGATGAAAACAAAACATGCTTTTTCATGGAACATTTCCTTTCTTTTATGTTAATGTAAAAATAAATCCTTTTTCTGTTTAGGTTATGTTTAGAATTCCCTCGCTGCAACAGCAAAAAGTTAATTAAAACTGTCATAAATAAAAATCAAACTGATAAGTCTAAATTTAGGTCAATCAAAACAGTACTATAACTTGCATGTTTTAATTTGGGTGTTGAAGATAATGTGTGTTAACAAGCAAAGGAAATACTTTAGTAAATCTGTTCATTTAAAGAAATATGCAAAATAGTGCTTCCATTTCTGTATTGATTTTACTTTAGATATAAGAAGACACTAAATATCCAACACTGACAGTAGAGAAAGTTGGGTTGTTTTGAATGAAGAGTTTGGTCTTGTATGGGTTTTTTTTTTTTTTCCTTTTTTTTTCCTTAATAGTCTGATTTTCTGTCTTCTCAGTTTTCAATGGGTCCAGCAAATCATCGAAAGAGAAAGAACCTGCTCAGAAACACAAAAGCAAAGAGGCCACACCAGGGAAGGAGAGGAACAGCGAACATAAGGCTGAGAGCCGAAAAGACCAGGCTGCTGCTAATCACCATCCTACTACAAACACTGGCTCCTCTACGAAAGGGCTCACTGCTAACAACCACCACACTCTTCATAGATCGGCTCAGGACTTAAGGAAACAGGTAATGAATTGTACTCTACTGTGGACACAAGGGAGATGCAGACTTTTAAGATGCTAGCTCCATTTTCCACTGCCTGGCATAGAGCGAACATGGTAATCCTTAAAAGCACGCTCTGGAGACAGCAGGGAGTTAATTTTCAGTGAGAGAGAGAGAAAGAGAGAAAGAAGGAAAAAAGAAAAGTGATACATACATGGGAAGTCAGCATGATAAAGCATGCTTTACAGCCCTGTCTTTGTATTATCCAGTGTATACATATGAAAGAGTAAAGTTCACATTGATATTTATTAAACCTTTCTGACTGGCACTGTTGTTGGTTTCTCTGCGGACAGTGCCAAGGCTGGCAGCCCGTGGAAAAATGAGCTCCTTTTGTGTACGTCTGGTCTGCTCCGGTTATCTTAGAGGCTCACTGGTGTTGTAGAGAAGCTGACCTTACACTCAGGTGTCTTGTATTGCATTGTGGGCAATACAAACCTCGGAGTCCAGAAAAAATGTTTTGCCCGATGCATAAAGAAGGTGCTCTAGATTATTGCTTCCTTCACAGTGGACGTACCAGCTGGGGAGAAGTTCAGACTTCCATGTTACTTGGCTGAAAACTAGCAAAAAAATTCAGCAAGTCAGTCTCGGCCTGATTTGTATTTGGGTGTGGAAGTTGAGCGGACCAATTTTTCAGTGCTTGTGACTGGTGTTTGGGCAGGATGTGTCTCCATCTATTTTTGATGATTGGATCAAAGGGCTTCTAAAATAGCAACTGTCAAATAAGTTTTTTATGAAAGACTTTCAAATCCTCGGTCAGCATGCTTATTCAGTCTGGTGCTGGGTTAGCAGGTTACCTGCTCTAGGGCAACGAAGTACAGAAAGCTTGCTGCACTTATGCCTTCCCCCACAGTGGTTAATTCTCAACAGGCCAGTTAGAGACAGTCTTTGTTTGCTGACATCTAAAGCTTTTTCTTCTAAGTAGTCTGGCCTGGACTTCAGTGGGGCTGGAATAACCATCTTGTAGAGCTGTCAAGGCCTTAAATGGCACCTCTTAGTCATAGGTTTGGAAATGAAAAATGGCAAAAAGAGAAACAGTGGTGCTCTTGCCAAGGAAATCTTCCATGCCCTGTGCTTCAGTGGTGTTTAAGCTTCTCCTGAAATGCCTCCACTGGATTTGTGTTAGCTTCTAAATAAAATTTGAGATCCTGAAGGCTATCTACAGTATATTCCTCTGTACCTCTGTAAGACTTCCATTCTCTATTTCCCCCATGGCAATTTTTGCTTATCTAGTCATCAGCTTGAATGCCTGCCGCCTTTTGCATCCTTCTGGCTTTCTTTTTTGTGACTACCAGCGTCCTATGGTCCTTGCTGTGACACGCTCTGCCGTGAGCTCTTCATGTTGAACAAGTTTTCCAAAGCATAAGGATGCATTTCATACTTAATTATTTTAACTCACTGGAACACTTGTGTGAAATGATTCAAAGTTGTATCATCGAAGTATGAATGGTTAAAATTCTTGTGAAAGTCAACTACCGTCACTTGTGAAGGTAGTTCTGAGAAGGGAAAAGACAGGTGTAGAAGAATTTTGTCCACGATCCAGGTGGGTTTTGCTTTGTAGAGTATTGGATGTTTTCAGTTGTGCTATGCAAGGTGGAGAGAAATTCTAAAGCAATGCAGTACAACCAACAGTCATGCCACACAGACACCTCACTGAGTGTGGTCTTCATGCTTCAGAAAATAAAGGGACTGTAAGTTGAAATGATGATCCTTCTTAAAAAAAAAAAAATAAGGCATTTAAATTTTCTGCTGCAACCCACAATAACATAAATACTTTCTTAGCATTTTTAATGAAAATGTGGCTGTAACTAATTAAAGGTGGATTATGCATTTTGCCTGACAGAAAGACTTAGCTTTGTGCAAAACCTTAGACTTACCAGTTACGTGACATTGCTAAATTTCCTGCCATTGTCCTGAGTCTTGTTAACATTTTCAGTATTTGCCAAAAGGAGAGTTGTTTTCCCAGGGTGCCAGCCACATGTTCTTCCTCCTTCCAGTACATTTTTGATCCTTGTTCATGTGCATTTACATGGTTTATTTATGCGTGTGTCTTTGTTTTGTTCAGTCTTACAAAAAATAAAGGCAGAACACTAGAAATTACCTGAGATTTTCTTTTTTCCTCTCATTCTTTCTTTCCTTTTCTGGTGTGCACTTGCACTTGTCACGTGTTCCCTCCTCTTTCTTCCTCTCTTGCTCTCTTCCCAAATCCTCTACTTTAAAGGGGTAGTGGGCAAAGGAAATGTAGTTCAATGGGGCCCTCTCTTGGCCTAATACGGTAATTTAGCTCTGCAAAACTCATATATCAACACAGAAGTATTTTTATGAATGAACTCGAGATCAGTTGCATAACTTGAATTTGTTTGGGACCAAAACAGTTGTTGGTATCACTAATGTTGCTGTTATTACTGTTGTTGTTACCTAACAAGTTGTTTGTTGGCTTTATTTTGTGTGTGCGTATGTGTCTGGAGGATGGATCCTAGGTGCTATGCAGAGCTGTGTATGTAAATCAGTTAAAATCCAACAAATTGCTGCAAGACTATGTGCTGGTCTCACTTGCTTTTTAAAAGGCAACAAAATTTAAAATCTGTTGTACCATCTCTTACTGCAAGGCAAGTGCTCAGTAAGGTGGAGAAAAGAGTGGTCCGAAGACAAATACCGATCAGCAAAACCGAGAAGATAGCTGAAAAGCAAAGATAAGATTATTCATATCCTTAGTTTCACCTTTTGTGCAAGACTTTGAGTCAGTAAGGCTAATGTCAATTACTTTGTTACTATTTGAATTAAATTGACTTCTTTCTTATGTGCTCAGTGTAAGCACTGCCTCGGGATGGAGCTGTGGCATAGACCCCCATTTGGTGAACCTGTGCATCTGGCAGTGTGGCCAATTTTTTAGGCTGACTCTGTGTGTATGTGTTTGATTTGGGGGGAGACATATCAACAGTAGAAAGGTAAGAAAATGCCTACCACAATTTCTTGTTTCTTTTGGTTCCAATCATCTGGTGGGTCCTCAGAGACAAGTACAGACCAGGAACATGTAGGTGATGACTGACCAGCCAGAATTTCACATTTGTCAATGTGAAATCCTGAATCCACCTGTTGCTTTGATGGTGGGCTATGACCACGTTGTTTGTTCCACTTGTTTTCATCTGGAAGACATTTGTTGCAGCCTATTCCTATTTGAAGCGTGGTCTGTTCTGGTCTATATAGTACTGCTGTATCTTAAACATCACGCTATTCTTTCTGAAAAACACTCAAGATACCTGTGAGCATTTGGGGAGGGAAGAGGGAGAAGCATTTGAAAACCTTTGTGTTGTGTCTGCTCTAGAAAGATGATGATCTTGAGGAAGTTTTCAGCAGTGTTTCTTTCTTGTGGGGTCCCCTTAGCTAGCAATCAGAAAGAAATAGTGAATTCCTTATGGTATTCTCAAAGCCAAGTGTTCTCTACTTCAGGACCTGTTCATCATTGGAATAATATCACTAAGTCTGAATAAAATCTCTAAATAGTTTGGAGGTTAGATAGCCGAAGCTTATGAACCTGTTCAGTTCAAGATTTGGCCCTGAGAGCTAAGATTTTTTTGTGTGGAGGTATTCTAACAACTCTAAAAGGTTGTGATAAGTTGCTGTTTTCTTAATTCAGTTTTCCAGAGGTTTGTAGCTTGGCAGTTTTAATGCTGGCCTAAAGATGCTAATGCTGATGGCATGTTCTCCTTTGAAGGAGTTGTAAGGATCCTGCCTTTCTCCATGAGCACTTTCTTCCATGACTGTAGTTTGTTCTCAGGCCCTGTTGTCACCACCCCTTGCTAAAGGAGGGCCCCTTCAGACTTCTGGTATCAACTTCTTAAAAAGAAATAAAATCATAGGAAGGCTTTACTGCTCACTCTGAGGTGGTGTGTTGGCTGTACCTGACAGCACAGTAATATAGCTATGGCATCCTGGAAATCTTCTGGAAAACCTCCCATGGAGGAGGCTCCACAACATCCATTGACAGCTTCTTCCAGAGTTTTCCTTTTCTACTAATTAGAAAGTTTTCCTAGTTGTGCCTCAGATCATCTTTGTAGATAATTAAAGGGTTTTTCCCCCCATTTTTCCCAGTGAACAGGGAATTTCAGAGGAGCCCCTTATGAATCATAAGACCCTTACAGAGTTGTCCCGTAGTCATCTCTTTCAGACTAAACAAGCCCAGCTTCCTTGGCTTTTCAGTAAAGATCATACTTTGCAAATACCTGAGCACTTGGTGTTCTTTTAGACTTACTCCACTGTCTAAATTTTTCTAACAGTGTTGGCCTGATACTGGTACCAGCCCTGCACAGGAAAGTCAGCGCTCCTATCCCTTGCTTTCGATGTTCTTAGTAATAGGTCTCAGAAAGAGATTTGTGTGCTTTGTACCACCGTCGCATTTTGCAGCTCACTGCGGTCCCCAAATGTTATCCCATCCCTACATGTATTTGATTGGTCCTTCCTAAAAATAGCATTTCTTCTTATTGTAGAAATGTTATGAAATAAGTTCTTCAAGATTGCCTTTGATTTTGACGTTGTCTCCAGAGACCCTTCCAGGTGTGTGTTGCTGGCAAATTTTAATAAATTTTAATAATTAATGCAAGTTACTGGTGGAAGTACTTGGTAGAACCGAGGCCAAGACAGGTCCCTGCAGAAGAGTCACCTGAAATGCTCTCCCAGGATGGCAGTGAACTATGACAACGATAACTTCTCTTGTGGATGATTTTCTTTAATCCCTTGTGAAGCCACTGCAGGGTAATTATGTCTAGGAAATGTTTCGGGAGCTTGTTTGATGGAATGTCATGTGGGACAGTGACTGGAGCCTTACAGAAGTGGAGGTGCTTCTTTGCCTGCTCAGCCAGGTGTCTGTCAGAAGATTATTAACTTAGCTTGATGTGCTATCTTGGCAAAACTATAGCTGGTGGGTTTTTGTTTTATTTTGTTTTTCACGTCTTATTTATTGTTTGTGTGTTTACAAATTAACAGTTTGATTATTTGTTCCAGAATGATTTTAGGGCTCAAAGTTAAGTAGACTCTGCCAGCCCTCCACTTCTCTCCAAGAGTCATGCCTTAAGTCATCTAGGTATACTTTATCTTGCTGGGGTTGCCTTCCTAGCTCTTTTGCTGAAATTGGTTATGGTATACATCTGATAAGTATTTAGTCAGTGGTACTTTTGGTGAAGGCTGCTGCAAAAGAAGCACAAACACTTTAGCCAAACTGTTGCATTTGTTTTCCTTCCTTGTGTGGTGGTTGATCTCTGCTGTTCTTTGTTGTCTTTGTATTCTTAAGACGTTTATAAAATTTTTCGTGTTTCACTTTATGTCCCTTGCTAACTGAAGTTTCTTTAGCTCCTTGGCCTTTCTGATTTTACCCATGCATGTGTTTGCTGTTCCTATATAGTTTCTTTTAGTCACATAATTGTGTTTTGACTTTTTACTATGATTCTTTTCTAATTTTTCAGTCGTTAGAGAACTTTGTGAACAGACATAATGGCCTCTGCTTTGTGCCACTCCTCCGAGTGGGAATTGTTTTGGTTTGTTTTTTTGGCAGGTGTTTTTTGTTGGTTGTTTTGGTTGGTTTGTTTTTAAAGTCAGTTGTACTTTATCTACTGTTGTCACATCTTAGAACTGAAAACTCATTTCATGATCACTGTTACCCAGATTACCTTCCCCTCTCAGTTCTCAATCAATTCTTCTCTATTAGTGTAGATGAAATCTGTAATCAATGTTCCTGACTATTTATAAAGCCAGAGATGTTCAATGCTTGTTCTTACTGCTGCAGGCAGGAGGCAATGTCTCAGCAGCTCTCTACTCGTGTCTGCTTTGTGGCATGAAAAAGCAATGTAAAAGTCAAACCCAGGCTTCCATTTCAAATGCAGAGTACTGCCTAAATTTCAAAGGAAATGGGTAAATGTATTTCTGTTAGCAAGTGTTTGCTTCCTAGATGATCTCTCATACATCTTTGGAAAGCTCAGGGTGAAAACTCATGTCATTAGTTAACTGGATTTTACTTAAGTATTTCTACATTGGAAGCACAAGAAGATGGATGGGTTTTAAAAGGGCATTACTCCTGCTCCAACTTCTGCAGCACAGAGGAGAAAATGCACGCAGTAAATGTGTGTATACACATACATGCGTGTGTATGCAGAATCTCCAGGTTCCAGTTCCTCTTCTGCAAGTCACTTAATGCAAGACCATAACATGATCTTTTCAGTCTCTATTTGATTCTAATTTTATAATATTTTATCTTTACTTTATAAGTGACTATAATTCTTGCACTAATTTGAGAGAAGCTGCCATGCTTACTAATTTGGCAAGTATTCTGAAATCCCACAGGGAAGTATTATAACTTTGCAGGAATGGTGTTACTCAACTGAGCTCTGATGAGGGGTGATTGTACTGCATGCTTTCACTTTGGGCACTTTTATCAGTGTTCCTGATTTTTGGATGTGTTTTTCTGCATTCACGGTAATTTAAGGAGGTGAGGAAAAAAATGTTTAAACTCGTTTAAATACTGAAATTTATTTGAGGTTTAAACTTGAACTTAATTTTCTTAGCAGTGGACCTTGGCTTTGGCAGTGCTGAGCTGTCACAATGCCCTTTGAAGCTGAGGGTTGCTTTCAGTGCTTAACCTGTCTTATAGTTAAAATAGAAATTTTAGTTTCATAGCTGGGTTTAAGTGTTTAACAGAAAGCAGTGGAGTCCAGCAATTCTAAGTTGCAATGACACATTAGTGATGAATATGATCTAATTAAAAGTGTCTCAGCAAAACTGCCCAGATATCAAACTTTAAAAAAATGCATTGCACTACTGTATACATTTTTATTTCAAATTAATGTCTTCAGCAACAAGATGCCTCCCAAGATATAATATGTATGACAGACTGGATTCTTGATGGCCATCCTGATCTGTTGGGTGCATAATGTGTTCAGTATCTCTTTTGTATGTATGTATGTATAGATAGGAGGTTAGTTTGAGTTTCAGTGTGTGATTTTTTGTAAAATATACCCATTCCAGTTAGTAGATAGTATACACTGGCTCGTTTGTCTGCTAAGTAGTAAACTCTGTGTGCACTTAGGAGAAGTTGGATGGGAAAGAGATAGTGTCTGAGGGCCAGAAAAGGAGATAATGGAAGTTTTAGTTTATAAATTAAACTAGCTGTGTTTTGTGATACCATAACAGGCTTTCTGCTAGACAAGGAAGGGCGTAGTGCAATCAAGGCACCTCATCCTTCTTAATGCCAGAGTCTTCATACGCTCCGAAAGCAAGATTGGCTTTCTGGAGACTTTTTGGTTCATTTAAAAAAAAAAAAAATTCTATTTTATTTATTATGAATGCCCAGTCCCTCCTCTTGCCTGGCTAAAAACTGTAGGAACAGGCAGGAGTCAGGACTGCAGAATATGGTTGTCCAGTGACTTGCGACGCTGTGGCTGAGTGGTAACATTATTAATTTACTGTTCTGTTTCTGTTTCCTTCCTTCTGCTCCCCCTGCAACAATCCTGGCATTGCAGGTTTCTAAAGTCAACGGGATCACTCGAATGTCATCTCCGAGTGCAAATGCAGCCAGTGCCAAAAAGATGAGAGAAGTCAGACCTTCACCGTCCAAAACTGTGAAGTACACTGCAACAGTGACAAAGGGAACTGTCACATACACCAAAGCCAAGAAAGAACTGGTCAAGGAAACCAAACTAAATCACCACAAACCCAGTTCACCTGTCAACCACACAATCTCAGGGAAAATAGAAAGTAGCAATGCAAAAACCCGCAAACAGGTGCTATCCCTTGGAGCATCCAAGTCTAACAATACCGCTGTTAATGGTGTAAAAGTCAATGGCAAGTTGAACCAAAAGACATGCACTAAGGAGGTGGGGAGACAGTTAAGGGAGGGGCTGCGCAATTCGAAGAGGAGGCTGGAAGAGATGAACCACATAGACAAAATACAGTCGCCCACCAAGAGAATGAAAGGGGCCGTCAACTTGGTAGAAGCTGCCAGCAAAAAGGCAGCTGTAGAAAAGCCTTTGCTGAATGGACACCTTAAAAAGGAAGTGCCAGAGAAGAGTTTGGAAAGAAATAGGCCGAAAAGAGCCACTGCTGGAAAGAGTACGCCAGGGAAACAAGCACATGGCAAAACTGAAAATGCCTCCTGTGAAAATCGTTCTACCTCTCAAGCGGAGTCCTTGCACAAGCCACAAGACTCAATGGGAAAGCACGAAAAGGGCAGTAGTAAGTCTGGGTGGGGGATGCTGGGGGAGATTCCCATCCTTAGGCCCTCCACCAAGGAATTTCATGACCCACTGATATACATTGAGTCAGTCCGAGCTCAGGTAGAGAAGTATGGGATGTGCAGGGTGATTCCTCCTCCAGACTGGAGACCTGAGTGCAAGCTAAATGATGAAATGCGGTTTGTGACACAGATTCAGCACATACACAAGCTAGGCAGGCGCTGGGGACCCAACGTGCAGCGGCTGGCCTGTATCAAGAAGCACCTCAAATCTCAGGGCATTACCATGGACGAACTCCCACTCATAGGTAAGGGCTGTGGTTTCATTGGCCTTTTGCCGCTGCTTGTTAGCGTCCGTATGCAACTTTATGCTCAATTTGCCTTTATGCTTAACCAAACCCCTGTTCAATTAACACTGCAGAGCACTGGATCTCTCTCTTTATCCATCCGTCAGGCTCGATGCAGGTAGAGTGTTGGAGGGCTTTCCCAGGAGACTTTATATTGCCACCTTCTTCCTGCCAGCTCTTTATTTTACCCAGGGGAAAAAACTGCTGTGTGGGGTCTTGGTCTCCAGATTGCGGGATCTTCTCCTTTCCTTGCTGTTTATTTTTGTAGGTAGTACAGCTATGGATATTGATAGCCTTGCTTTAAATGTTGCCTCAGGATATTTATTCGGACCCTTCCAAAGATGTTTTCCAAATAAGTTGCAGTGCTGCCAAGCTTGAATATAACTATTTTTTTCATCCTCCCTTTAAAAGCATTTAACCATGGAGGAAAGAAAATATCTCGGAACTGACTACTATTTGGGTACTCAGACACTTAAAATCACAAATTTGCAGTGACCTGCTGACATTTAACAACCGTTAAGTGTCAAGAATAGGCAGTAAAATGTGGTTGATTGCAAAATGGAGGTTTCATTATTTCTCCCAGCAGGTGACTGCCAGGGCTAATGCCTGAGTGAGAATCACTTATTTAACAGAATTCTTGGTTTATGGTCTGCTGTCAAATATGACACGTGACAAAAATGTGACAATAGTTTGTAAAAACATGACAACAGCAGCATACAAATGAACTATTGAATGAGCCACCTCCATCTCTACTGCCTTTGCAACTATGACATAGTAACAAACTTGTGTTTTTCATTTTTGTTAGCCCTCCCCTTTGTTTTTGAAGTGTTTTGAGTCAGAGCTCACAGGACCTGCATGTTGCAACTTGAGGCTAGTGTTTTGCCTTTGAGGCATTATCCCAATCAGAGGCAGCTATCAACACTAGTTGGATTAAAGGACACACTTTTCAGTTTAAAATGTTCAAAACACTTTCGCCCACCCACCCCCGTTTTCAAAATTTATTTTATATAACATATGGGAAGTGAGTGAAAATGCATAAAAGCACACAAAGAGATTGCAGAGTTTATGGTGAACCGATGCAGGGCACAACAGAGAAATGACAGAATTTAAGGAAAAGGAACAAGGGTTAGCACTCTGTTGCAATAGCCATGCAAAAACGTTCAAGGAAATCTGAAAATGAAAATCACTCAAGCAGCAATAAGTGAACATTATGTATGCCTAATGTATGCAATGGTTGTATGCTAATAGGGAAGAATAATGAATTAAATTTACATTGGCGAGAGCGAGAAGAAAATGTGCAAGACAGCTCGATTAATGCTCTTGGAACAATGTTAACTTTTTAATGAAATACCTTAACTTAGCATTAAGATGGCATTACTGTTAATTATTTGTATTATTTTAAGCACCTAAGAGCCTAATTAATAGGCAAGGATTCTATTCTGCTGGGTGCCATATAACTGGAGCGAACAGTGGTCTCTTATAAAATTTGCATCCTGTGTATCCTTTCTGCAGTTAATTTCCTACCTATTTGGTGCTTAAAATTAAAAACAAAATGGAGAAAAGAATCTGGAGATCATCAGTGTACAAAGATGAGAAACCTGTTGGTTCCAACAGGAAAGATAGAAAATAATCTGTGGTGATAAATGCACACTTATTTAAGTAGACGTGTACATATCTCTCCTTTCAGGGCCAAATCACATTTCTGTTGAAGTAAGTGGGATTTTTGCCAATGACTGTGTAGTTCCAGCATTTGGTATTAAATGCATACCTGAAGTCTTAAGATTTTTTTTTCTTTAAATGAGCTTGCTCACTAGGCAATTGAAAAATATTCCTAACTTAGTGATATTGAGACAATTAAAAAAAAAAAGGTCAGATGCTATTTCTGCATAACATGTGCCAGGTCTCTTATTTAAGCCATTTTGCTATGGGTGCTTATAGAGGGGGTTAAAACTCTTTCTCTTCAGTCTTTCAAGGAAAGTTTAAGCAACATGCTTAGGTCAATCCTTGAAAACATTAGCTTGAGATATAAATGCTTCCAAATGTTATGACTGTGTGAAATGGAATTATAATTGAGACCATTTTGTAAACTTCAGCTGTGGCTGATCCTATGGAGGATCTGACAGATACGCGAGGCTCCGGCTGAATGACGTGCCACTCAAGCTCTAATACTGCAGAGTGATTATGAGCGATCATTCCATGATGCAGAAGAAAATCACATTTCTTAAATAGCTCGTAAACAGTGTTGAAACGAGGACCTTAAGCTGGGTGTGCACTATTTGTCCCACTGGAGGACACAAATAATGTTAAACCTGGACCACACTTCTTTCGAAGTTAGGAGTATGTTACTCAATGTTATGTAGGTCGCTGAATCTGTTGGGATGGAAACCTATCTTAAATTATGCCTTCATCTTATTTGTGAACTGTACATATAAAACACTAGACCAAAAAAGTAACAGCCTGTAATAGAGGCCAGCTTGAAAGTTACTTTATAGGGAAGATAAAAGAGAAAAAAAGAACTAAAACCTTTGAAATTTGTTTTTTTGTTTTTTTTGTTTTTTTTTCCCAATGGTATTG